TACGGGTTGGCATTCGGAGCCGAAAATAACAAATAACTTGTTTTGAATACTTAGTTATGTCTAGAAATGAGCGAAACTTTAATATATATGATATAATTGAATGAATGACTCGGAGGCACAGAAACTTTGAGCGAAAACTTACACTTTGTCTGCGAATAGGAATGCTATGAGAGAATCGTTGGCATCGAGAGAATAAACGCTATATTATTTGTATTAACAGCCAATTCATACAAATTGTTTTACAAAACAAAGCATTTTCTCAAACATTAGTCATGAAAAGTCTCGCAGAGGATAGAAATAGTCGCCGAAAACGACTTAATGTTTGGTCACATCTCTCTCTCTTACTCTCTCTCTCTCTCTCTCTAATACGATATGAAAACTAATTAGTACTTCGGTTTTGTTGGCATTTAAACGAAAGTCGTGTTTATGTGTGAGAAAAGGGATTTTGTCGTCAAGAAGTTAAGGCCATTATTTATTATATGACAATATCGTAGGTCTCCCACTGGATGTCCACCGCATGCAAACGTATAATATATTTTTTGTCTCTTGTATTGAAGTGAGAATTTTGGCTCAAACTGTGCACAACATCAACAAAGAGCTCAGCCGTGCGGTCCCAACCATTAGCGCCGCATTTGTATTATATCGCACCGGCTTTTTAATGCCTGTCAGCCCCCTACGTGGCCACCCCCTACCTACAGTACCTCTCTCTCTCTCTCTCCCTCTCCCTCTCCCTCTCCCTCTCTGTCGCACACCTATAGATCACTATCGCATTAGTGTTAGTGTCTGACCCCTCGACTCGACTTCACTGACCATAAGTTTGGAGATTTTGAAAAAAGTTATGATTAGCTGAAAACACAAGTAAAATCGCATTTAAAATTCGGTTATAATAATATGTCTCTATATAGTCTACAAAGGGTTTTGTATGTGAAACTTTTTCATTATCTTTGGGTTACATCGGAAACACACATTACATCTGCGAAATAATTTTAGTCTAAGAACTGCTGATTATATGTAAGAAAATGTTAATTTAAAATCACTTTCTTTTGGACGACTCATTCATGCGATGGCCCTCTCCCTCAGTCCCTCACTAATGAGTTTTCATATCATATTATATATTGTTTTTGTTGTGTTTGAAAATTCCTCTGAATAGCAAAACCGGAGAATAAGTTTTTCCAATATTTGTTATCTATTTATGACTTTTTCGGAGTCAATGTCTGTTGAATTTGTATATAAAGTAAACCCGTAATGCAAACGTATCATGATTAAATATGTGAGAGTGGGCTCACATACACACACTCCTGGGCCCCCGGAATGGTCATAAAAATAAGAGACAAAATATTTGATATGTATTTTAAAGTTTTAATTTATTATAAAAATGAATAAAATTGTCATTAAATTGAATAATGATATCCACAAAAAATATTTTCGATCTTAAAATGCTTTTTATAAAAGCATAATATAAAAATATGCTTTTTATGTATAAAAGTAGATATATTTATGTTTAGCGAATATTCTCTAAGTTTATTTTTTATCAAGTACTCAACTTAATTGTAGTCTATATTACGATAAATTATATGTAAGTGAAGAAATAAGGATACGGAATGAGAATTACACTTATAATAAAAACTACGGAAATTTATAGTGATTATATAATGTATATTTTGATTCAAACTCCGGCTGTTAATAACACATCGACTATTAATATTAAAATTCAACTCTATTTTTGCTTTTTATACTAATTTGAAACCCAATTTTTCTTTGTGTTTATAAAGTGTTTAAATAAATACGAAATTAACAGACGTTTAATCTCTTATTATTCAGGAATTCATTGAATAAATTAGGAAAAATGAAATAAATATCAAAATATACAGCACTTTTGAGCAATTTTTTAGGACGTTTACTGCCATTCAATGTGTACAGTATTACTGTATCATAAAACTTAAGAAATTTTTGAGGTTATCGGAGTTCAGCTAACTTTTTAATTAGCTGCGTAACTAAAAGTTTGCTGAAAATCTATAATAAAAATTATCATAATTTATTAAAGAATGAAGTGAGATATAAATTATTCTTTATTTTATAACTAAATATAAAATAAATTAATTCCACTCAACAAACTACATTTTTAAAAACTATATTTTGTTTTATTATTTTGTTAATTTATATTTTAAAACATAATTTAAATATTAGCACAAACAATTAGTAAACATTTAAAATCGATGGCATTTGTAATCATATCTAATTAAAGGTTAGAAAACATATTAATAATAATTGTAAACTAAAAACTATTTTTACAAATCAATGTTCAGTTTTTCAGACTCGGCTTTCAGTTGTTGAATGGCTTTCTTGAGTGACTCGTTATTTGGTTCAAAATCCTTGTAATTCGCGAGCTTTTGGTTAACTGTTTTTAGGTTTTCCTTCAGTTTGTCATTACCTCGGATGAGCCCATCGATGGCCTCTCGACTCAATTCACACGAATATCCGCAGTCTTTCAGAGTCTGTTCCGAGTCTTTAGTTCTTCTGCGGTATTCATTACCCTTTTCCTCATAATATTGACTTTTAGTCTTCAATTGTGTCAAATCTGTCTCCGTCTCAGCCCTGGCCTCCCGTAACAGTCCTTTGACGGCTTCGTTGTGTTTCTTCAATTCAATGATTTTCGTTTCGATCTCTTTGTCCAATCGTTTCAATTCGTAGAGTTGTGTTGTCTTTAATATCTTATCAATGATAGTATGGTGTGAATCGCATCCACTAATGTCTTTGGGATTCATGTCCAGCGTATGACAGGCTTTGACCAATAAATCCAAATACTTTTTCGCATCAGCCGTCCATTCGTTATTCAATTCAGTCGATGTTTCCGGGATTTCATTGGTTTTGATCCGCAATAAGACTAAAATTGAATCCATTATTGATTTGATTTCTTGTATTGAATCCATTATTTGGTTATAAGTTATGAACAGATTGTATGATACTATGAAAATTAGATGAATTAAGTCATAAACTACTGTACTGTATAGCAGTATAATGAACAAAGTTTTGTATTCAAAGTACTGTGATTACATATGATGGCTAAACCGGACTTTTATCATAAACTAATGAAAGTTTGTAGCAAATTAATGTTTAGTGTAAAAACTTCCTTAATCTTCATAGAGTTGTATATTATTAGCATTAAGTTAAGCCTTTATTTTTGGTCGTAAACTCTAATAATGGGATGAACTCTAATAAATCATTGATTAAATTGTGGGCCAATTCATCATTGAGTGAAACGATTTTTAATAACTGATTACAAGTGGAGTCAAACATTTAATGGCAAAGAATAGGCTTTTGTGCCGCAGTTTTCACTCACACAGAGTGCACACAAACTGATTCACATAATTAGCCACAAAAATAGCTCTGAAACTAAGTTTTGGTAAACATTTGGGGCACAAATAGACGCCAGCGGAATGCAATCAATGTATAATTGAAATTATAGTTTAAAATATACTTATAATATAATATATAGATATTAATTTCAATGCTAATGTACTGAAAAAACTAGACATTTCTTAAGGAATGGTATATTCAGAAGTATGGGAACTATCCTCTGGAATAGGTTTGGGAGGTTTGGGAACAGCTCTACATAATCATAATTGTTTGAAGAGCACATACCGGAGGCTAATGTACACCAAAATACAAACTATACTAACAATACCTGTATTGACAAATGGGATAAAAAAATTTAATTGAATCTAAAGTATCGCTAATAAAGAGGATTATATAATAATAAGTAGTTTTGTGCTATATTTCTCTCATATTAATGTTATATAAATGTTTAATTATTTTAGTTTAAATTAATCATTATAATAATAATAAAATGAGAATATTGTATAATATTATATTATATAACATAGTTATGTAATTGTCGTTCAATAGACGGCTAAGCAAAATACTAACGACTAATTTGATGATTGGATGTCATGGGAAGTGATGGGAACGGGAGGTTTACTCAGAAGTCTCTTATTTTTATTTCGCAAAAATTCTTTGCATTTAATGAGCATTTAATTAGCAAAAAGGAGTCAAATAAAAGACCCTGATATTATTATTATTATTATTATTATTACAGAGTGACTTAAAACACAAGAATTTTTGTGTGTAATATATGATGGCATTTGATGTGTGAGATAAGGGGTTAAAGTTTGTGGTCAATCACCTCATGGATTGTGTCACAAAGGTTTAAGACCTAACAATCTGTAAGTTTTTTTGTGATAATTTTAAAAACAACTTTTTTGGACAAATTGTTGTCAATTTCTCATATTTCTGAGTCCTCTTTACTAACACTCTGTGAGCCAACAAAATACCAGTCCATCCATTGATACCCTCTTTGTACTCGCGTTTCAAATACAAATTTTCATAATTTTCTCAATCATTCAATGTTTTCAGGTTTTGATGAATACATTCTTGAGATAACCGCTAATGAGATATAGGAGAGAGAGAGAGAGAGAGAGAGGGAGAGGGAGAGAGAGAGAGAGAGAAGACTGATATAAGGATGAGATGCAAGACTTGTTTGAGTGGATAAAAGATTTTTGCAATTCATTAAAAACTAAATTGAATTGAATATAACCCACAGAATAACGTATATTATGTAATGCAATACAAACTCATAACTTATAGAGACATTTAGAACGGGTTATCTGTACGTCAAACACACTATCAGTTAACCGATTCTTACGAGTAGTGTTGTATTTACTTTGAAGTGAACCAAACTTTTGATGAAATGAAATGTTATCTCAAACTGTGATCAGAAGTAAATCAGTGGTCATTAGATTCAGTGATTTGACCACAAGTTACAGATACCTCTACCACTTGTCCACAACTGATCGCCAACTCTTGAGCCGCAGATGCAATTCCTTTGACGACAGACCTGTTGGCCACTTCTTGAGACACAAGACAAATGGTTTTCATCAAAATGATCACAATTTCGATAAGAGATATGCCATCAAAAGGACTGCAATTTTGGCCACAATTGGCACCACTTTAGCCATCGTTTGGTGGAAACGCAAGAGTTTACTGACAATTGCTGCCAAAGAAGCCGTAAATAACAGCGAAGACCAAGAGTTTGCAGAATTTGGTCGCGAAATAAGTGGTCTGAAGAGCTATACGGCCGAAGAAGTGGCCAAACATAACGATATGTCCAAAAGGATTTGGGTTTCATTCCGCAGCGGTGTCTACGATATCACCGACTTTGTTGGCCAACATCCCGGAGGCGATAAGATATTGATGAGCTCTGGAGGAGCACTGGAACCGTTTTGGACGCTATTCGCTGTCCATAAGACACGCGAAGTGTTCAAAATGCTAGAGAAGTATCGCATCGGAAATCTGGATTCAAAGGACAGGACTGTTGAGAAACCGGGCGTCGATAGTACTCCCGATCCCTATGATAACGACCCGCTACGACATCCGGTTCTAAGGGTCAGATCTAAAAAGCCATTCAACGCGGAACCGCCCGAAGAACTACTGACCCAACAGTTTTTGACTCCGAAGTAATTGAATGAGTTTTGAATGAATTGTTGGTTTTGTTTTGAAATTGATGTCAACTTTTTATGTGAAATGTATTTTCAGAGAAATATTTTTTGTTAGGAATCACTTACCGGTGCCTGAAATCGATATCGAGAACTATACCCTTGAGATCGAGGGCTTTGGCCTCAAAGAGCCGAAGACTCTAACCTTAGATGAGATCAAAAAGAAATTCCCGAAACACACGGTCATATCGACGATACAGTGCGCCGGCAATAGAAGGGATGAAATGAATAAAGTATTGAATTATTAATTTGTTGAGCGATTAGGAAATGTTTGAATTGTATGCTAAACAACAGGTCAAAGAGGTGAAAGGCCTGTCGTGGGGGTCGGCGGCCATCAGTAATGCCAAATGGAGTGGCGCTCGACTCGTCGATGTCCTTCAGTACTGTGGTCTCGATTTTGACGATCAAAACATCAAACACGTTCAGTTCGATGGCCTGGACTTCGATGTCTCATCCAATCCGTACGGCGCCAGCGTTGAGGCCATTAAAGTGAGGATCTATTCCAGTGATTATCCCCTCAATGCTTATGCAATCAATATGTGATGGTTTAGGCGCTGAACCCAAACGCAGACTTTTTAGTAGCATATGAAATGAATGATGAGGACATTCCGCTGGATCACGGCTTTCCATTGCGACTGATAGCGCCGGGAGTGGTGGGCGCCCGCAATGTCAAGTGGTTGTCACGCATTGTGTTAAGCGATGAGGAAAGTCATAGTCATTGGCAAAGGAAGGACTACAAGAGTTTTTCACCAAACATTGATTGGCATAACGTTGACTTCGAGAGCGCCCCCTCTATACAAGAACTGCCCGTTCAGTCGGCTATTTGTGAGCCCCGGGAGGGACAGTTGGTTCAGATGGATGAGAATAGGAATATACAAATGAGTGGTTATGCGTGGAGTGGTGGCGGACGGAAAGTGATTCGAGTGGACGTGTCGGCTGATGAGGGCATCAATTGGGTGACAGCGGAACTGCAACAGGAGGACAGTCCTCTTAATAGGACTTATTCATGGACTCTATGGAAGGTAGGAATGGATGCAATGGATTTAATAATTTAACACTAATTGTATGGACTTTTGTGGTAACACAGGCTAACATCCCAGTGCCCAAAGAGTGGAAATCTGGCCATAAAGTGGAACTGGTGTGTCGGGCAACTGATTCCCACTACAATATACAGCCCGAGAATGTGAGAAATCTCTGGAATCTGAGAGGAGTTCTCAATAACTCTTGGCATAGGATTCGTGTGTCTCTCAAATAGATGTCTTTTAATCGTATGGAAGGACTGAACAAAACTCAATAATTAGTCAATTATTTGATACTATTTGTTATAAAGTTAATAATTAAATATGAATTTACCGATTATTGTGATACCAATTATGAACTCAAATTAATTAAAGTTAATTTCAAAGCAAGCAACTTTTATTTACAAAATATAATCTAGAATTTTGATTACTATATGTCTGGACACTAGTGTCGGACCTATTGGAACCACTTGAGTGATAAGATAATATAGGACATGCAATGTATTGAAAATTTAAAAGTCTAAAAGTTTTATAAATAAAATAGGTTTGTAATAGAGATGGCGCTAATAGTCGATGACAAATATGTTGAGACCATTAGGAGTCACACGCAAACTCGTGCCCCTATTTAAGAAATCTATGTCTAACTCAATGAAAACGCCCTCATTATGGCCACCAATCTGTATATAAAAAGTAACGTTGTTTTTGTGAACTGAATGGTTGTCCACAACTGTGTCATTCATTTCGTAATGAATTTTCTGGAAAAATGATTACAAAAATTGATTTGAGTTTTAGTTTTAGTCGTGTTTTGAGTGCTATTTGTCGACAAATGCTGTGAATTATAATTAACTCACTTTTGGCTTAATTTATCGCTTATTTCCTTATATTTTGTGTCAAAATATTTGTTACATTTGTTTGCATTTGACATTCAATAACAAAATGAGTGATCAATCGGTGGTCGACCAGAAGGCACCCGAAGAACAGGAGGACAAGCAGTCGAGTGATGGCGAGTCGACTGCCGATGATATGCCACCGCTTGAGGACATCAAATACGACGACCAGACGGATGAGTCGCTGAAGAAGAAGAATATTGTGATACCGGAAGACAAACCGCAACCAAAGCCGGCCGAAGACGGATGGCTCGACGTCTTAGACAACGGAGAGCTCAAGAAGTTTGTGTTGACGGCCGGCGCTGTGGGTCAGCCCCGGCCTGAGAGGGGCTGTATTGTGGCCATCAAACTGATCGCTAAACTCTTCGACACCCAAGAAGTGCTGGAATCGGAGTCCCATGACTTGATTGATGTGATTGTTGGCGAATCGGATCTGTTCCAGGGCTTAGACCTCATTATACCGCTCATGGATCAGAAGGAAGTGGCGCGCGTTGTCGTCAGTTCCCGGTTCGCCTACGGGAAGACCGGTGTCCCGGATGTGGTGCCGCCAAACGCCACACTCGACTGCGAACTCCATGTCGTGTCCGTCCGGTGGATGGACGAGGACTTTGTGCTGCCAATCGTGGATCGCATCAGAATTGGTATGCGTTTGAGATAATGGTTTGATTGTCTGATTGTCTGATTGTCTGATTGTCTGATTGTATGACACGTTTGTATGACTTAAGGCAACCGCAAGAAGGAAAGGGGAAACTTCTGGTTCGCTCGACAGGAGTACTCCACTTGCATCCAGTGCTACAAAAGTGGTCTCAAACTACTGGACGCCACCGAAGACGAGTTGGAATCGGTTGACGGCAACGAAATGAAGGAACACTTGGACCAACAGATGAAAGGTCTGCAAAAGGACGGCGAAGACGAGGCCAAAGTGAAAGAGTTGGTCGACATTCGGTGCACCACTTATAACAACTTAGCGATGGCTCAGATGAAGATCGAGGACTTCAACGGTGCGCTCAAGTCGGTGGAGGCCGTACTCGTGAGTCAGGCCAACAATGTGAAGGCTCTGTTCAGAAGAGGCAAGATTTTGGCCGAAAAGGGCGAACTCGAACAGGCGATCGAGTCGCTCAAGACTGGGCTCCGATTAGATCCGGACAATAAAGCCATCGCTCAGGAGCTGAACAAATACGGCAACAAACGTAAGAAAGAGTTGGTCACCGAAAGGGATCTCTACAAACGTATGCTTCAATTGGATAAGTCGTCCACCGATCCATCGAAAGGTATTCAATCTAATAGTTCTGACAATAAGTGGCGTAAATGGAGTCTTATCGGGGGTGCGGTTACCGCCTCGCTAGCGGTGGTCAGTGCCCTCACCTATAAGTTTATACAATAGGCCACCCGAGCAGGTGTTCAGTGCAATTGTTAGCCATTTTTCTATATTGTTTTTAAATGATGAATAAATTGTTTCCATTTTTCAACACTTTTGTGATAATAAATACACTCTCTGTCTATGAATTGAAATTTATATATTATATACAAATATTTAGTATGAAATTGAAAAATAAGTTTTTATCTTCAATATCAATATATATTTGAAAGTCATTTGAATATTACGGTAATATTTGTTAAGAATTTATTTTGTTTGATATATTTTTGCTGTCATTATTTCCAGACATGATTTCAATATATTTTGAATGTTTGATATTTAAATGAATTTCAATATTGATTTAGCGTTTAATGCAAATTGAAATGCAATTAATTGAATGCATTACTGATTTTAATTTGATGTACATTTAAATTAGGAGTAATTATAATATATAATTTGTTTAGGTTTATAAATTCATTGCTAAAAATATCATTTATTTTCTTAATTTAATATAATTTGTAATGAAATCTAATTTTTAAAATATAAATATTATTTTGAAAATAAAGTATTTGTTGTATTTTGTAATCTCATTGAAAGTTGTTTCTCAATATTTAAAGCGTGTTTGAATTGAACGGCTAATTACAGGTTCGTGAGGCCAACATTGGTCAGCCCTACTCCGCCCACAGCCGTATTGTCCGAATAGATAGCAATCCGACACAGATTTGGATTAACAACTCGAATGCAAAATCCATTACTATTGGCTTCACACCGATTGCCACTAAACCTATTACCGCAACCCTGGATATCAATGTCGTTATTGTCTGAATTATAGTCCCGATCACTGCCTCCTCGCCCTCCGAAGCCATCCCCTTCACTCCTCAGCCCATTCTGTCCGTCCGAGTCATCAGACATTCGGACCTATTTTGTAGGAATTTGTATTTTTTTGTAAATCAATGTTTTGTATGTTTTGTACGTTTTGTGGCAATTATTTAATTATTAAAACAATTATTACCCGAAAGCCATCGTTGGCTGTGTTCACCCCTCTATTCCTATCGATTTGATAATTATTTCCATTAATCGAAACCCAGAACCGATTGTACGACTGGAGGTTATTTAGGTTAGTGAGGGGTCGGCCGTCGAAGTAGTTCTCGCGGACAGCACCACAACACGTGCCCTCAAACGCGTGGACAGCCTCCGCGGGAGCACCCGTTTGGATGCGATTATTGGAGATTACGTTGCGGTCGCTTCTGTCCGCATATCCTCTAAAGCTCTGTCGGTCACCGCTTCCGATGGATATACCGAAGCCATACTGTGGTAACCGAATACCGGTGCGGATTATATAACAACTGCGAATAGTGTTGCTGTCGCTATCCTGTCGTATAGTAATGCCCTCTTCATCCATATTTCTGATGGAAACCCTTTCGACTAAATTGTTTTTTCCATTTTGTATGGCTATACCTCTGCGGGAATTAATCACTGTGAACCCCCTCAGTACCCAATATTGTCCCGTCAAGTATAGAGCTGTTCCCCCTTTGTTTAGGAGGACAGCCCTCTGAGAGCCCACGAGTCTGATGGGAGCGTTGGCTCTACCGATGCGATTGGCGATGAAATTTCCGGAATAGTATCCATCTCTCAGTTGTATTGTGTCGCCCGGACTCACGATTCTTAGGTAATCACGTAATAGTCGGGAAGTGGAGGCCAGGTATGTTCGGCTCTCCGCACAACTATAGTAAGTGATTGATAAATAGAGTGTAACTAATAATATATTCATTTCAATTCACGCGTTAAATCACAAGCAAATGTGTGTTTGAATTGGTGTTCATTTGGAAACTGAGATCTACTCACAGACTGACAAAACTTTTCAACTTTTTTCACTCGAAAATACATTTTTGGCAAACATTTCACTTTTTATACCAATCCTATTGTCATTAATTCCATAATCAATAGAAATGCAGTCTTTTATTTGTCTGTAATTGTATTTTCAATACTATGAATAATTGTCGCGATTTTGACACATAATGAGTACTATCGGTAATCATGTTATTGAGCTTTAAATGCAATAATATTTGATTTAGAATTATGTTTTAAGTGAAGTTATTATAGATATAGAGAAATTGGGACAATAATAGATGTGAGGGTCGGACCTAACTATTAATCATAATTGTATTGATTTGAATGCAAACAAAGTATATGAATACAAACCATCGGCACTTAAAGCAAACAAATTTATGCATTTGTTTGATATATTCATTTGAAATAATAGCTTCAAATCCGGTACTTATTCAGTGTGCCATACGTTATACGAATATTGTGTTTGGATATGGTATTGATTACAAATGGAAAAATATTACAGAATTTCATTTAAAATTGAAACTTTCATTAAATATAATATTGTACTTCAGTATAAGAGAAGTTCTTTGAATTTCATTCATTCGTTTGTTTGGGTTTCAATTGATTCATTCAATTTAGATATTTCTAAAAACATTAACTAAACGCAAGAACTAACAAATATACTATATTTTTTAAATTATCTTAAATTGTTATTTTGTAATCATTTATAGGAATTATTTATTAAATTATTTGTTATTCCTTAACCTTAACAGTAATATCAAATAAGTATATGTTGAGAATATTCTGTCATTTAGCAACCATTAACATACTGAACACATAGGACTTACAGGTTGTTAGATTTACAATACGGTAAATGATAATAGATTTTTAGATTTATTTCGTATTCAATACCCTGCTAAAATTTAAAAACAACTACAATATTAATAATGATTTAAATATAAAAATACAACTAATATAAAAGATATAACAATTGAATATTTTTTGAATAATTTATTAGCTGTTTATGAGTTTAATGATTGGTTGCAATTGATTCATAAGATCTTCATCTGATCCGTCGTTATCGATGACAAAATCCCAGTCCGTATAGGAGTCGAGTCCACATTCAGTCTCCTTATCGTCGACACCGACAGTGAAACTCCAGCCCCTCTTAACCCGAGTCTCAACCGATGCACTAATTCTTATGGCCAAAACTCTGGTGTCTTTAAACTCTTCAGAAGACTTGAAGTACTGGACATCACACAGACGTCTGGCGTCGGATAATATCCAAATGGATTTGGACTTTGCGTTCGACTCATCAATGGTTAGCCGAAGAAAATAGTTGGGATCATCAGCTCGGATCCGTTCGGACCACTCGACCATCTGTTGTCTATAGTCTTCCTTATAAAGTGTTGCGTCCAGAAGTCGGTCGAAGTCGAGGTTATGGTCTTTGGCGAACTGTCTCTTAATGGGTGATGCGATACGAAACACCACCAAATCGGACAAACATTTTGACAGCAAATCCACGCAAAAGTCTTTTCCACACTTTCTTTTACCGCTGATTAGTAAAACAGTTTTCGGCTTTTTATTTGCCATTTACTTATTAGAAGTTATTTTATGACACTTTTTAAAATCAAGTCATTCAATGAGTTTTAAGAAATTGTTTTTTGAATTTTGTAAACAATTTATGGATTGAAAATTTTCGATGCAATCATCGTTTTCAACACAAACTTGATATCCGGCTCAGAAATGTTTGACTAAATAGTATACGATTTAGTGGTAAGACTTGAATTTCAATACAATATTTCCTACAAAACTTGTTTCTAAAAGTAGCTCTTATTTGAATTTATTTAACAATTTATTTATAAGTATTACTTTGTTTTATAAAACGGTTTTCAATCAAACATTTAACACATCTGTTAATCAACACTAAATTCTTATACAAAAACACATTTAGATATTTAAAAAACTTATAAACATTTCATTAAATTATTAACTTTCATATTAATGAATTTCAATGGGTTTAAGATTTATTTTAATAAATATTAAACAGAAAAACATTTTTTTTATAAATATTTCCTTATAATATAAAATATGAATAGTAGTCATAACATAACAAATTAAAATAATACAATGTGCTAGCTAAATATTCTCGTAATAGTGTACACAACACATGTGTTTACATTTGTTTTATACAGAGAATTGAGTGTATTTTGAATGAAATAAAATCTGGTTTACAAAATACAAATTATAAAAATATTAATATTACAGTAATTTTGTGGTAAAAATTGATTTCCAGAATATTCAGTGACAGTACAGTAGACAAGGATTTATGGCATCACTTCCTATTTGACTATCATTTCTCATAACAATACATATATTTCTAAGGGAAATACATTCCGTACGGTTATAAACACAGTCTCACATAATATCTGTCATTTTGTTTATTAATATTCATAATACAGTTAACACTAATTATTAAATCGCAATGTATATCATCACAAAATAGTATTGTTTTCATTCATTGTTTGACATTTGTATGAATGGTTTGATTCATGCATTCATTCATTGCATGGATTCAGTGATAATCACTTCAAACGTGAATCGCGCGCAACGGATACTATCGATGTGTGCATTGCATTGAAATACAAGTTATTATAATCGCATTGTATGCCTGAAATGCTCGTAACATTTACATCATACCATGCAATCGTTTAATATATTTTAATATCGCTTACAAACACTTATAAATCAATACTTTTTACCATTAATATTTACATGTGAAATATCTTGGATGCAATGTCTGCATAGCATTAACATCACGTCATACGTGTGGACCCCTTCACAGCAACAGTGCGCTCATTGGTGGGGGTATTAAAGGGCTGTAAATCACATGTTTTTGACATTTAAACCTTGTTTTGAAAGCCAAGCGACAGCAGTGTCTCGTTTGCCATAACCCTCTGAATCTGGAGATAACTACAGGCAAGTGGTGTCTGTGTTAACCACTAATATGTCATTAGATCCATGCGATAACATCATACTAATCACCGATTCATATAAGGTATGTATCACTTGTACCACAATAGTGTCATCAATAGTGTCATCATTAGTCATATAATCATTGAATTGAATCCATGAATAGATCACTCATTGGAAGCAATACCCACCGAAGACAACGAGACTCTACTCATACTTCGAGAGCAGAGGCGGACGTTTCGATAACACCGTCTTCTTTGGTCTTCAATACATACTCAAGAGATATCTGTGCGGACGAGTCATCACCGATGAGAAGATCACTGAAGCCAAAGAGTTTTGTCGCAAACACTTTCAGAGGGAGAACCTGTTCAACGAAGACGGCTGGAAGCATATACTCCGTCAACACAATGGTTACCTCCCACTGAAGATTAAGGCAGTGTCCGAGGGATCAGTTATTCCCACGCAGAATGTGTTGTTCACTGTGGAGAACACGGATCCAGCGGTTCCATGGATTACTAATTGGTCAGTGAGCTTGTGGTGACCATTGATTAGTAAATATGATGGTTTGCATTGACCACTGCCGCTATACCACTGCCACTATGTTTGCCGTAGTGCGGGCTCCTCTAAGACGTGCCGATTGATGTCTTCATGAATGTGTTGACACACACAGTGTATGCGCTCCATGAGTAGCCACGTCTAGCGTTAGACTGTTATTATGAACACTGCTATTGGACACAAGACGTGGCTACTCATGGAGCGCATACACTGTGTGTGTCAACACATTCTAAACAATCGTTTGTATGAAACAACAAATTATACGCCAATTAAAAGAGAAAAATTATGCAATTTATTCAATGGGGTCGGGAGTGATGTGAAAATCAATGGCATATCTAATACCAACCAAATAGACAACGAAAAAGTAGTTGCGTTTATCATTCAAAGACATATTCACACAACTCTGGTGTGGGTTTCCTATCGATCGCCAAAAATATATTTTTCATTCAACACAATAAAACTCTATTCAAATATATGACAAATAAAAATAAACAACAATTGTAGACTAAGAATTTATTATTTATTTAATTCCCATGTTATTAAAGTTATTATTTAATACACTAAACATTTATTTATTTAAGCCTACATACATCATAGACTTTACTAAATAAAAACAAAATAAAATAACAATTCATTAATTATTAAAACCATTTAACAAACATCTCTATCAGACAATCAAACGTTAACTAAAAATTATAATTAAAACTTAATTAAATTACATATTTTATTAATTAATTAAACAATAGCTTACGTAAAATAACAAAACATTAAATAAAAATAAAAATCCAATTAAACATTAAAACTAGAGTAAATGAGTAAGTACAACTAATAACCTTTTAAGCTTTATGCTATATTAAGCTAGTATCAATATCTAAAAAAACTAATAAATTATTAATTTCAAAACAAGTCAACTATTTTTGGCAGCAATTCATCAATAGCTTTAAAATTCAATTACGGAATCCTACTATAGTTTGCATTTCGTATAAACATTATACTGTAATACTGTTTAGTATGTGTTATATTGTTATTATTAATTCATTTGAAACATAAAACTATCAAATAATAGGCAATACATTGTGAATAAAAACAACATAATTATAATAGACATTGAAATTCACATCAAGTCTATTACGAGATCACATACATTAACATGAGTTGAACATTGTTTTGCTACAATATGTGCACTCGTTTTGATCAATACTATCCTAAATCATCACTAATTATAATTAACTCACGTATTAATTGCATAAAAGTCTATCACACAAAGGCTATCAATTTAATTTAATTAAACAACCTATAGATTGTAATCAGATATTCTACTAGCTCAACTATGAAGTTCACCCTGGTTGTTTCAATAGTAATCCATACAGAATACTGAATTTTAAAAATTATGTAAACATGCAAAGTATTTAATTTCAATACATTTTAATAATAATTAAAATATATCCACATTAACAGTAACATTACATAAATACATTAGACTAATAAATACACGTAACAAACAATAAAACAAATTACTATATGTATAACAATAGCCTTTAAATAGTATCCAAAAATAAGTGAAAAATAAGAAAATAAAAAAATAAAAATCAATTTCTTGAATACAAACCTTGAGTACGATTATATAAATCACTAATTATTTAGCAATAATTGCTGTGAAAACGGCAATCAATGGTAATCCTATGGATGAATGGGTGAAAGTGTTATGAATACGAAAGCATTAAAAGCGCTTTAAATACAATTCAATCGACAATTTAATTGAAAACACTTTACAAAACAAATTCACAACTCTTTTGGTAATAAATACGATATTAATATGCAATGAAAACACACAATACATGTCAACGCATAACACACTACCAATCAATTAGTTTTCAGTACCTTTCGATTACGGAGTCACCACTCAATACACTGTACAAAACGAATGGCATTCGCTTTCGTTTGTAACGCATTGATTTGATTGGTGTTTAATGTGGAAAAGTACTAAAAATGCGGCATTCATTTAGCCATCACTTCATGTTGTAGTGGTGTTTAGCGAAGTACAGACACACACAGAGTGAGACCTATCGGTGCGATACCTGCGCCCCAAACACCAGTCCGTATCAACTCATTGGCCGCTGATATCCAATAATCACGTCCACATACCTTTCAATACAATCAACACTTTCTCATACATCGATAACATTACAAATTAAAACACAAGTGTTTATTATAGCGACAATAGACTGTTTTATAAATGACACCACAATCAACACATGGTATTATGAACTCGTTGTTTACTATATTGAGTTCTCAAAGCATAGCATTGATTGGTTCACTATAACGGAGTTGAACTGCAAATGAGACAACTTTGACAAAGTGACACAAAAAGTATACGTTATTTATGACGAGTACTTGCATTTGAAACGTGACTCAACACAAAACAAAAGTACCACTCGTTTGAAGTCTTGTTTCTCGAGCTGATCCACACGTGAAGACATATCGGACAATGTTTTTGACACGAAGTGAATACGACAGAGGAGTCAACACTTTCTCTCCTGAGGGCCGACTCTTTCAGGTGGAGTACGCCATCGAAGCCATCAAAGTATGACATCTGACAATCCAATCACTCATTTGATCCCATGATCTCTAATGTCTGTGTGATTGCTTCCGATGGACAGTTGGGTTCGACGGCAATCGGCATTCAGTCGACTGAGGGTCTGGTGTTGGCGGTGGAGAAGAGGGTGACCTCAACGCTGATGGAGGCGGCGGCCACTGAGAAGATATCGGAAATCGATACTCACATCGGATGCGCGGTCAGTGGTCTGATGGCCGACAGTCGCACTCTGGTGGACAGGGCTCGGGTGGAGGCACAGGTATGTGACGCCAACTGTGACCACAACTGATTGATTGACTTGGTGTTATGACCGACAGAACCATTGGTTTCTATACAACGAGAAGATGTCTGTGGAGTCGGTGACCCAATCGGTGTCAAACCTGGCCATACAGTTCGGTGACTCGGACAACGAGGGCAACGCCATGAGCCGGCCCTTCGGTGTGGCCATACTGTTCGCCGGCATCGACGAGAACGGGCCGCAGCTCTACCACATGGACCCGTCCGGCACTTACGTCCAGTGCGACGCCAAAGCCATCGGCGCCGGCTGTGAGGGCGCCCAGCAGTCGCTCAAAGAGGGCTACCATAAGGTGAGTGTCCATCAGCCCCACCACCCATTGATTGACACATTGTTTTAACATTTGTATGGTTTGTCTCTTTTATTTGTGACAACAAAAGGCAATTGATTTGAAAGAATCGCTTAAAGTATTGCTGAATATTCTGAAGCAAGTGATGGAAGAGAAGCTGAACTCCACTAACGTAGAGGTGGCCACCATTACGAAGGATAAGGGCTATCATCTGTTCACTAAAGAGGAAGTCGAAGAACTCATACAGAATATGACCACATAATCGACTCATCCGTTGAGCACTACTTTGATTATAAATTAAAACTTTTGGTATTTTTAAAAAATTATTTCTTACAAACTATTAATGAATACTTCGATTTGTTTTAGTCTTTTATGTCTTAATAAGTATAATAAAAGGCCTAATATTTAAAACACTATAAACTCTTTAAAATATTTAATACTTTAAATTCTAAAATACTTTTTCCCCTTTTGTTCAGTTGTTGTTTTCGTTGGAAATGATTAATGAATTGCTATTAGTTTGAGATTCAATTGATTTGATTCGTAAAGTATAAAATTGTTGCTTAAAATACTGTCTTTGTTTCGGACATTCGAGTGGACATCAAATTCGTTGGCCATTGATAACCACTTTTGCATTTTCTTTGATGTCTTTGAACGTGTATTCCTTGAGAAGCACTCCATTCTCGAAGACGGTCTCCAAGAGGTCCTTAATGTGGACGCGTTTGTCGGGATTCTGTTGCTCCTCGTGAGTCACGAATTTGCCGGTCGTTTGGTTGAACTCGAGGCTTAGGATTCCCTTTTTGGACGACTTGTTGGGATCGGTTTTGGGGTCTTTGTAGACATTGACGGGAATGCCCTCAATCTCGGCGTACGAGCACTTGAATGCACACCGATTGGTGTCCCTGTGAACCCTCATGAGGAGGGAACCGCCCGACCCGAACACGAAGTTCTCGACACTAAACCGGGTCTCTTTGATGCGCTCCAATATGGTGCGCAGGGAGTCTATGCTGATGCCGTCCCCCTGTATGATCCGCAAATAGTTTGGCAGTACTTTGTATTGTTTGCTGTTTATAGTGCAGTCGCTGCAGAAGGCCTCGTATAGGATTTCCAGGATTTTTGGCAACACTTCGACCGGATTTCCCGAATCGGGACGTATGACCAGTACGTTACCAGCGGTGCGACCCCTTTCGATGACCAGTTCCTTGAGCTTTTGGCCCCAAATCTTTTCGCAGCACTCGTATATGTCGTAACTGTCGGACACCACGGATATGATGCCCGAGGGGAACTCCTTTAGCATGTATTCACAGGCTTTGAGTTCGCCATCGAAGAGTGCATTTGGATTCTCAGACGCGGCCCAAGCGGTCATTGTTGAGTGCTCTGTGGCCGGCACTGATGGACAGGTATTTCAACCATTGAGTCCATTATCTTAACAAAACAAATATCTGTAAATACTTTACCAGAAAAGCCGGCCATATCTTCGCCATAGTATTTGGATATCAATTGAATGCCTGCGAGTGTATCGGTTCCCGTGAAGTTCACCAAATGGGCGGCGCCTCCAATGGCTGCTTGCTTTGGATTATAAGGTAAGACATGTAAAGCATTTAGTGATTAAATTACATTTGTGTCATATTTAGTGATTACTTCGACTGATGAGACCCCACGGTATCCGAAGTCATGTAATTGTACGCAAACCCTGTCCAACGAATCGGCCGTTTCGCTCATGTATTGAGCGATAATGACCTTCTGTTCCCGGGAAAGGGTGGCCACAGTCATGGGGTACCAGCACTGGAGCAGAAGTGTCTCAAACCTAACCCATTAGCACATATTAGTACAAATGAATGGTCACCACAAGCTCACTGACCAATTAGTAATCCATGGAACCGCTGGATCCGTGTTCTCCACAGTGAACAACACATTCTGCGTGGGAATAACTGATCCCTCGGGCACTGCCCTAATCTTCAGTGGGAGGTAACCATTGTGTTGACGGAGTATATGCTTCCAGCCGTCTTCGTTGAACAGGTTCTCCCTCTGGAAGTGTTTGCGACAAAACTCTTTGGCTTCAGTGATCTTCTCATCGGTGATGACTCGTCCGCAGAGATATCTCTTGAGTATGTATTGAAGACCAAAGAAGACGGTGTTATCGAAACGTCCGCCTCTGCTCTCGAAGTATGAGTAGAGTCTCGTTGTCTTCGGCGGGTATTGCTTCCAATGAGTGATCTATTCATGGATTCAATTCAATGATTATATTACTAATGATGACACTATTGTGGTACAAGTGATACATACCTTATATGAATCGGTGATTAGTATGATGTTATCGCATGGATCTAATGACATATTAGTGGTTAACACAGACACCACTTGCCTGTAGTTATCTCCAGATTCAGAGGTTTATGGCAAACGAGACACTGCTGTCACTTGGCTTTCAAAACAAGGTTTAAATGTCAAAAACATGTGATTTACAGCCCTTTAATACCCCCACCAATGAGCGCACTGTTGCTGTGAAGGGGTCCACACGTATGACGTGATGTTAATGTTAATGCTATGCAGACATTGCATCCAAGATATTTCACATGTAAATAGTAAAAAGTATTGATTTATAAGTGTTTGTAAGCGATATTAAAATATATTAAACGATTGCATGGTATGATGTAAATGTTACGAGCATTTCAGGCATACAATGCGATTATAATAACTTATATTATATTTCAATGCAATGCACACATCGATAGTATCCGTTGCGCGCGATTCACGTTTGAAGTGATTATCACTGAATCCATGCAATGAATGAATGCATTAATCAAACCATTCATACAAATGTCAAATAATGAATGAAAACAATACTATTTTGTGATGAAATACTTTGCGATTTAATGATTAGTGTTAACTGTATTATGAATATTAATAAATAAAATGACAGATATTATGTGAGACTGTGTTTATAACCGTACGGAATGTATTTCCTTCAGAAATATATGTATTGTTATTAGAAATGATAGTCAAATAGGAAGTGATGCCATAAATCCTTGTCTACTGTACTGTCACTGAATATTCTGGAAATCAATTTTTACCACAAAATTACTGTAATATTAATATTTTTATGATTTGTATTTTGAAACCAGATTTTATTTCATTCAAAATACACTCAATTCTTTGTATTAAACAAATGTAAACACATGTGTTGTGTACACTATTACGAGAATATTTAGCTAGCACATTATATTATTTTAATTTGTTATGTTATGACTACTATTCATATTTTATATTATAAGGAAATATTTATTAAAAAAATGTTTTTCTGTTTAATATTTATTAAAATAAATCTTAAATTCATTGAAATTCATTAATATGAAAGTTAATAATTTAATGAAATGTTTATAAGTTTTTTAATATCTAAATGTGCTTTTGTATAAGAATTTAGTGTTGATTAACAGATGTGTTAAATGTTTGATTGAAAACCGTTTTATAAAACAAAGTAATAATTATAAATAAATTGTTAAATAAATTCAAATAAGAGCTACTTTTAGAAACAAGTTTTGTAGGAAATATTGTATTGAAATTCAAGTCTTACCACTAAATCGTATACTATTTAGTCAAACATTTGTGAACCGGATATCAAGTTTGTGTTGAAAACGATCATCGCATCGAAAATTTTCAATCCAGAAATTGTTTGCAAAATTCAAAAAACAATTTCTTAAAACTCATTGAATGACTTGATTTTCAAAAGTGTCATAAAATCACTTCTAATAAGTAAATGGCAAATAAAAAGCCGAAAACTGTTTTACTAATCAGCGGTAAAAGAAAGTGTGGAAAAGACTTTTGCGTAGATTTGCTGTCAAAATGTTTGTCCGATTTGGTGGTGTTTCGTATCGCATCACCCATTAAGAGACAGTTCGCCAAAGACCATAACCTCGACTTCGACCGACTTCTGGACGCAACTCTTTATAAGGAGGACTATAGACAACAGATGGTCGAGTGGTCTGAACGGATCCGAGCCTCTGATCCCAACTATTTTCTTCGGCTAACCATTGATGAGTCGAACGCAAAGTCCAAATCCATTTGGATATTATCCGACGCCAGACGTCTGTGTGATGTCCAGTACTTCAAATCTTCTGAAGAGTTTAAAGACACCAGAGTTTTGGCCATAAGAATCAGTGCATCGGTTGAGACTCGGGTTAAGAGGGGCTGGAGTTTCACTGTCGGTGTCGACGATAAGGAGACTGAATGTGGACTCGACTCCTATACGGACTGGGATTTTGTCATCGATAACGACGGATCAGATGAAGATCTTATGAATGAATTGCAACCAATCATTAAACTCATTAACAGCTAATAAATTATTCAAAAAATATTCAATTGTTATATCTTTTATATTGTAATATTATTGTAGTTGTATTTTTATATTTAAATCATTATTAATACCTGTAGTTGCTTTTTAAATTTTAGCAGGGTATTGAATACGAAATAAATCTAAAAATCTATTATCATTTAGCGTACTGTAAATCTAACAACCGGTAAGTCCTGTGTGTACAGTATGTTAATGGTTGCTGAATGACAGAATATTCTCAACATATTCTTATTTGATATTACTGTTAAGGTTAAGGAATAACAAATAATTAAATAAATATTTGGATAAAATTCCTATAAATGATTAAAAAATAACAATTTAAGATAATTTTAAAAATATAGTATATTTGTTAGTTCTTGCGTTTAGTTAATGTTTTTAGAAATATCTAAATTGAATGAATCAATTGAAACCCAAACAAACGAATGAATGAATCAAATTCAAAGAACTTCTCTTATACTGAAGTACAATATTATATTTGATGAAAGTTTCAATTTTAAATGAAATTCTGTCATATTTTTCCATTTGTAATCAATACCATATCCAAACACAATATTCGTATAACGAATGGCACACTGAATAAGTACCGGATTTGAAGCTATTATTTCAAATGAATATATCAAACAAATGCATAAATTTGTTTGCTTTAAGTGCCGATGGTTTGTATTCATAGACTTTGTTTGCATTCAAATCAATACAATTATGATTAATAGTTAGGTCCGACCCTCACATCTATTATTGTCCCAATTTCTCTATATCTATAATAACTTCACTTAAAACATAATTCTAAATCAAATATT